GGCCAAATTCTGTCTTTCACTGCATACAGTTTGAGTTGAAATCCTGAATAATACACAAACCTACTAGGAAACAAAAAGCTGATTGTCTATTTCAGTAAATGTCTGATTACATTTAAAACCATGTGTGTATTGTTTTGATCCCTCATGCACTGTGAAACTGAGGTTTGAGAGTAGCATTTCAATTTTTTATAGAAACAGTGTCTAGCAGTGATATTACAATGTGAAGATTAGGTCTCACCTCGTTGTAACGAATAAATTGAGACCAAAATTAAGTGAGTAGCCAGGGTCACCCACTGAGTTAGTGGAGAAGGCAGGTTTAGAACTCAGCTCCCATATATATTCTTTCCCTAATGAACCTAGTTAACCCAGTAGTGCGAATGAGGAGAAAAAATAATTTGAAACCATGTGAAACTATCCATAATTACTGCACCACGGGAGAAATTCCATTTAATGTCTGCTTTGTCATTCCCGTATCTTAAGATGTTTTTCCTCCTTCATTTTCCATTGTGCAAACAGATATTTTGTACTACTGGAAACCCAGACGTCTTATCCAAATCATGCAACATTTTAATATAAAATTAAAGTAGGCAAAAGAGTGCTGCTGGTAGCAAATCAATGGATCTTACAGAGGACAGTTGTCAAACTAGAACAGCAAAAAGGAGGAAGCTTGTGGGAGCAGCTGTAATCAACAACATTAGATCCTAAATCTTGTGAAAGTCCCGTGTAATTTGACAGGGAATTATGGCCCAAATCTGTTTGATGTCAGCATGTGTGCAGTTCTGCCTAACGGTGCAGTTGTGTGATGGAGCATTTCTAAGGTAATGATGAGAACTGGGTCTCTCCTCCTTACTCAGGGCCTCACCCAAAATCTGTAGGAGTGGATGGAAATTGGTGTCAATGTGGTTAAATTGGGTCCCTCTAGAAAGCACGTGCCTCATGAGCTCTTTTGTGTATCTGTCCACTCTTCCTTTCCTTTGTTTTTCTTGTCTTTCCCCTCTCAACTTTTTCCCATTTCTCATCTCTCAGTACTTAACCTTCAGGTTTCTGTTTAGTAAACCTACCAAAGTAGAATCAATAGCCTGATGCTTAATCACACTTTTTGCTGCTCAAAATGTCAGGTTTGGGTTTGTTTGTAGAAGGGCTTCTGCGTGCCTTTCATTTTTTAGCTCTGTGCAGGATGTTCTGTACTGCTCAAATCCATTAAGAATGAAAGATTTTGCTGTGGCTGATTGTTCTAATCTCTGTTGGGGCATATATGGAAAAAAAATGTAAAATTCCAGATGTTGGTTCATCTTATCAAGAGATCTGTCCTGGTACTTTAGAATTTTCTCATCAATTCTTCCTAGGTGAAATCAGTAAGGTTCAGTTTTTAAATCTGCTGAGGTAGCTAAGGCATAGTCTAACTATCTGTAAGTAGATGTGAGCATGTTTAAGTGTTTTCTTACGACAGAGAAAAAGGAAATAGAGCACAGAATGGTACCAGGTAGCTGCAAGTACTGGTAGAAATTAAATACTCTTTTGGTAAAATAGACAAAACAAGAGACCATAGCTTGGTGCATCAGCTCCAGTTAAGAGCCTGTCAAGAAACTGTTTCTTCCCTTCAATAGTAAAATTCATGTTTTAGAAACTTGTTTGCGTAACAGGTTTGAAGAGGGGAAGAAAACAAAACATCATATGGAGACCCGAGTGCATATACTCCAGTGCAAAGGAGTACATGAAGGTCACTCCTGACTGATCTCTTGATCCTTGGACAAAACTGAGGAGAAAGTCTAACAAATGCATCGTTTTGCAGTAAATTAGATCAGATTTCCGCATCTCCGCACTCAGTCTGTGAGCTGACAGTTCAGTAAAATGTTCCCTTGTAAGGTTCACCCTCTTAGGAAAAGGGGCAATAATTCATCATTAGAATTTCAGAGTCCAGGTGTAGATGAAAACTGATGGAGCCTCCAGCGAGGCAGGGAAAGTGCACAGAAGAAGAAAATTTTATCTGAAGCCTAATTCCCTGGTTACAGCAGAGAATAATTAAGATAATATTGCTTCAAGAGTTCTTTAATGATTAAAAATCACATATGCAGAATCCATAAATTGGAGGGCAACAAATTGGAAGGATACAGCGTCAGAGATCTGTTTTGTGCACGTTGTAGTGGGAAGCACACCGGTGGCACAACAGCAGCCCGGGCAGCCACAGGAGACCAGGCCCATTCCAAGGACTTTGTTTAGATGCAACAAATCATTTGTCTGTTATTAACCCAGAGCTTGTAATTATGCAGATTGCCATAGATTTTCCTGGGCCTGGAAGTGAGATTGAGGGTTGTTCACACTATAGCAGGCAGCTCAGGGCTGGCCATGCATTACTGAACTTGCCACATTTATCATGTTGACTGATGGCAGCAGAAGCAGGTCTCAGGTCCCAGTGGTTAATGTAGTGGGTAATTAACTGTCATTTGCCTAGTAATAGGCTGATGATCAATGGTTTGTGTGGAAACAAATTCTAATCAGGTAGCTGATAAATGCTCAGGGAGCGAGAGCAATTGAAATTGGGGGAAACTATGTCCAGAATTTCAAAATGGCATTGTGGGGTTTTTATTATTATTATTAATGGCAGAAAACTATGTTCTTCGTATAAACAGCTTTATCCAAAATTAACAATAGCTAATATAAATCTCACATGTTTGTTCTGTGTGTGGTGGGGAAGGACTAACAGCAAGGAGGGCCTCCTTCCCTCTACGTAATTGAAAAATTTTAATGTATCTGGTGCTCAGCTGAAGCAGTTTCTGTGGGGGTCTCTCATTTCAGGACTGCAGAAACCCTCACATAGTGGACTTGGGTGCAGTAAATCTCTGTCCTGCACGGTGCTGAATGACAATCCCAAATTGTTTCACTGCTCTGCAACATGCCAACTGCAACGCTGGCTGTGATGGGCTCCCCCTTTCTCACGCACACACGCACCTGCAAGGAGGACGTGCCGGTGGAAGGTGACACAGCCTGCACCCAGCACCCTCAGTGGCAAGGGGCTTCAGCTGTGTCTCAGGTGTTCAGCTGTTGCACCTAAACCACCTGAGCATTGAGGGGCTGTCTTATCCCCTCCACTGAGCTTGGAGGCGGTGGGACTGTTCTCATCTTTGTGTTTACACGTTGCTGTTGTGTTCGTGCCTTAAAGTCCGACTCTCCTTTTACTGCAGCCACACAGTAACAGAACAATGTACCTACAGTCTCTAGTACCTTTTGCAGCCTGACCTGCTTTCCTTGTACAACTAAACTACCAGTGTGAAGGAAAACACTTTCCTCCGTGGGTATAGTCATCTTCAACACAAAGCCAGCCCATGACTGGAAGGTGTCTTGCGTCCTTCTTACAGATGAGGAATGGAAATCTGAGTGGGATTTAGATAACCTCAACAAAACCCACACATGATGGAGGTAGAACAGGAACTGAATGTTTTACAAAAGGAATATTTATAATCTTCTTAAATAACCTATGATTTTAGTAATCAGACTTAACAGAAATAGAAGTTGACTTGAGTCATTCTAAGAGGAGCCTTGTCCCAGCATTTCTCCAAGTGATCACAGTAACCAGCATCTCAGACAGGAGGAAAAGGTTCACAACTTTTAAATTAAACAGGCATGTATTTTGTAGGCAGCACACCTTAAGTAGAAGCAGAAGGCAAAAGGATTTAGAATTAAGTAGGCTTGTTGGTAACCCATGCAATTCCATAAAATGGAGGGATGTGATTAAAAAACCTGCGTTCATTTTTATGTTACCAAACTGAATTTTCTACAGAGCACCTTTGAATTCATTAGTTTAGAACTGCTTTTAATTTGGTGTTTCCCTTGAGAGCCATTATATTTTTCTGCTGTCAGCCTGATGTTGAGGGAAAAAAGAAAGCTGGCAGATGTGGCGTTTTCATCTAGTGTGCTTCATAGTTAAAAACTGCATTAACTGCTATGCACAAGCAGAGCATTACTTTTAATAATCCATCACAACTATTAAGTAGTTTAAATAAACTTAGTTTCAAAGATTGCTGCCATGTAGAGCCAACATATTTTTTCTTGTTCATTATAATCCTTCTGTGTCACAAAAGGGTGCATATGTATGTTGGCTTGGGTTTTTTGGTGTTTTTTTTTTTGTTTGGGGGTTTTGGTTTGGTTTTGTTTTTTTTTCTTTTTTTTTAATACACCCACTTGAAAAGTATTGAAAAATCTTTAACAAAGGGAACTTAAAAAAAAATTCATATAGATGTCTGGCAAAAACAGCATTTCATATTGTTCTTACAGTATTTTATACTTCTGCTCCTGATGTGACTATATATAGTTTACAGCCTCATTTACTTTAATGTGCTACCTGAATAACATAATCATAGCAATAACTATGGTATAGGGTTGTAAGGTGCATGAACCACTAATGCTTTCTGACGATCTAAATGACTTGTTCATAAAATGTTCTTTTAATAATAGTGGTAAAGCTTTTAGCACTAGATGTCAAAAATGCGAAGAATGTTGGCTTTTTCAAGTGTTATTTCTTTTCTAGCTAAAGTGTATTTAAATAATAACTAGCACCAAAAGCCAAGGTTACGTGGCTCTGTCCTGCGTGGCAGAATCATAGTAGAAGACTCTTCCCACTTGTGCAAACAGCTTAACCTCTGTCTGCACAGTTATGTAACATCCCTAATGTGTTGTTTCTTTTGTTTAGTTTAACAAGATGTTTCTTTTATCAAGAAAGGTCAGTATAACCTGCAGAAAAAAAAAATAACATCACAATAGGTGCAATATTAGTCTGTCAGTACTTCATAAAGCTCTCTTGGGCAAGACTGTGCCTTCATGTTGTAAATTGGGCAGATTTGGACCATCAAAGACCAGCCTTTCCAAAAGGAGGTGTGCTGGGAAGTCGATCAAAGACCAGGTTGAGGGGAAAAAAAAATTAAAAATTAAAAAAAATAAAATGTGGAGCGAGTTTCCTTTTCAGTTAAGCATCTTCAGGAATATATTTCTTTCTGTATCTCCAGGTTATTTGGCGTTACAGGAAACTGTGCTGCCTGCAGTAAGCTCATACCTGCTTTTGAGATGGTGATGAGAGCAAAGGACAATGTTTATCACCTGGACTGTTTTGCATGTCAGCTTTGTAATCAGAGGTAAGAGAATTTCTTGGGTCTGTTCCATAAGCTAAGTGCTAATTCAGCACTGGTGTGGTCATATATTCCAGAGAAGAGGAAACATCCACCAGCAGTGGAAACCCAAGACTGAGAGTAAGACCTGGATACTTTTCCTGGGACTGATACAGAACATTTTTCATGACCTTGGCCAGAAAACTTTTTGTGCCTCAAATCCCGCATCAATAAAAAAGAATAATGTTACTTCCTCTCCTTCAAAAGACTGTCTGTCAAGTTTAATTAATTAATATTTATAAAGGTCTTTGAGATCCTTTTCTGCAGAAGAGTATAGCAGTACCATTTGTCATTATTGCATTAATTTCACTTAATTCTTCATTTTATCACATGTATTTATTTTAAAGTACACATTGTTTCTTCCCGTTGCCAGAACTGTAATCATTTAAATTTAAAAGATGTTGTTCCCACCATTTCCTCTGTAGCAGCATTGGACCTCTTATAGACCTATTTTTCATTTCCATATCCTAACTGTAGGTAATAAAAATCTCAAGGATCCAAACCCGACACTTTGTTCTGAAGCATTGCACATGTGGCACAGCTGGAGAACAAATGTAAATAATGGTAAAATTGTAACAACTGATTTTTTCATAGGGGAATGCAACCAAATTTATACCAAATACTCTCAGAATGGTGGCCAAATCCTGTCAGAGATTTCACCGAGAGCTCCATTTCTGACTCCACGAGAGCTGCTGGCAGCTTTGCCAGTGACTTCTATCAGGTCTAGGAACTGAGAGAGCCAATTATGTCCTCTCCTTAATGTCTCTATTATTTTCAGGTTTTTTTCAGTTATTACATGATCCTATTTAGCATTTTATGGCATTCATATTTTTTTCAGTTTCAGGTGGGAAGAAACGCAAGATGTACATTTCTAGGGAGGTAATAAAAAATTAGGAAGATAACCCTCTAACACAACAAAGTTAGACACAGCTCTAAATAAGCTTTCTTAACTCACCTTGTCCTGCAGTTTATTATTTTTTAACACTGTAGTCATTTAAAAATCAAACATCCCTAAAGAACCGTAAAATGTACAGCTGCTAATAAGTGTAGCACACTACAATTATGCTCTTTAAAAAAAAGCCAAATTGACCTTTTTCATCATGTTGCATGGGAAATTAAAATACCAGGCAAGTAATAACTGCCGCTTAAACTATATAATAATGCAAAGTAATTATAGGTTCTAATGCTATTTAAAGTCCTATATCAATTTTGTCTTGCTACAGAAGTAAGAAACTCTATTCTGAGCAAGGCAGACAGAGGCTCCCATAGCACCCATTCAAGAAAGACACACACACTCTCCTAGGTTTCGTTTCTTAAACCCTTCACATCCCTGTTTTTTTCCAAAGCATGGTTCTAGTATCATTATTAAAGCCCCTAATATATTTCTGTTGTTCGCTTCATTTATTACATGCCATAATGGGCCTGCATATCTTTAGTGTTGGTTATGCACAATTAGCACTTAGTTATTGTCTTGTCACTTCAGCCCATACAAGACAAACTTCTTTAATGTAAGAAGTCAGCTAATCTTCATCAGTCAAGCAAAGCAGACAATGTTTGTTAGCCAGAGTGCAAAAGATTTTCATCATAGTTAGCACTCATGGATCTGAGGAAGTGAAATTTCTTTTTTTCTCCCCCCTCTCCTCCCCCCCCCCCCCCCAAAAAAAAAAGGCACAGCTGTTGTAATTATTTTAATATTCCTCTTCTACCATTACAATTGTGGACTAATGTACAAATTCACTGCAGCTAATACACATTGTACTGGGCTTTGGGGCCACTGACCTCCTGGAAAAGTGCTGTGAGGTGCTCCTGAAATGGAGCTTTACTGGGATATTTAATAGTTCTTAACCTCATGATTCCTGAGCCTTCAATCTAGTATTTTATTTTATTTTTACTTTGTAGTTTGGGCAAAGGGTTGCTGAAATAGTATTAAGGTGTCTTAGACTAAAACAAAACCATCAATTTACCTGAAATACACTGTTCATCTAGTGAAAACAGGGTGTGGTTCCAGAAGTTCCAAAGAATTTCAGAAATTCTCAGAAGTGACCCTAATCCTGATTATATTGCAATAGCTATCATGAAGCCTATTAAAGCAGACTGCCTATAGGGTACCTATCTTCCTCACAATTTGGAGCTAGTGGCACTCTGAAGAATTAATTTTGTTGTTTTCTTACAATAAATCCTATTTCATGGATGCTCCAACATAGCTCTTCTGCGGTTCCTATGGCAAAGCATCCCACTGACTACATTCTCCCATTAATAAATATCTTCAAATCTTTTGTTTTTCATCATTTGTGTAGCAATAAAACCCTGAAATGCTAGACACCTGACGCATCACCCATTTTGGAGTTTTTTACATCTACTATGAAACGTCTTTCTCTTTTCTTTTAAACTGAATAATCTTGTCAGTCACCATGTCACTAATAATTTCAATTGTCCTTCTTAGGATCCTTTTTTCTTCTTCTAGTTATGCTAAACAAAATCAAACAGTGGATTCTGAGTAAGGATGAGTTTATATAACAGTTCAACTTTATTGAAAGTTAAACTTCTGCGCCTTCATATGCAGAATAATGTTATTGAGAGTCTTTAGGTTTGCTCTTTCCTTTCACTTCAGCCACTAATTCCACTAATCCAGAATTTATTTATTGAAGAGAACATTTTTATTTATAAACACATCAGCAATGTCCAAAAATTACCAATGGATGTAGCAAGGCTCACCAGCTATTGCAAGGCCTGTATGTTTAGCCATATTCCCCAATTTCACATTCTCTTCCCCCATTCAATATAAAATCCTTTGGGTCATTCTCTACAGTAGTTCTGCAGAGTATATAATGCTCTTTTTTTGGTTCCACATTTCACTTTCAGTTATCAAATATCATTTAGGTTTTTCCCTGACAGAACACATGCAACATTCTTGAGCATACAGAGTTGTTTCTTCAGTTTGCATTACTTTGTCTTTGCCAACACTGAATTTCTTCTGACTTTCTGTGCTCCTTCCAGTCCCTCCTGCCATCCAAGCTAGCTAATAATTATATTAACACTGATGCTTGGGGCAGCCCATTCTTCAGGCTTGCTATTGCATGACCCTCACATTGGTACCCTTTAAATAGTTGATCCTGACCCAGTGAGAGAGATGCCTGCCTGTTTTTGCCTAGTGCTTTTGTGAAAGATTTGGTGTTTTTTCTGCTTTTGTGTACAACTTCACTGTTTCCTTTTTTAGTTTCGAGTACCTACAACTCACCATCTAGAGCAAGTCTCAGTGTGGATGGTAGCTAGACCCCCTTGGTTTCGGAGGACTTTTGTTTGGGCCATGAACTCCAGCTCTGAGCTGACTCATAACATGCCTGTCTCCTCTTATTGGCCTCCTGAACCTGACATTTGCAGAGTGAGGAGAAAGAGGCATTGTCTCACATACTGTATTCCAAGAAGAAAGACTGTAGACAGAGGCAGCCTGAAAGAGATCTCCTGAGCCACCAAGCCTAGTCTCCTGATGTCAGATAGGCACTGTCTCCTATTTTTTCTTTCATAAAGCTATTCAGCCTTGAGATCTAATTGCTCCATCAAGCCAGTTGTTGAGATATTTCCCTCATTTTTTTCTTGATACTGATGCTTACAGCTGTAGCAATTTTGTGAATATTAAGCTCTGCTCATAGCCTAAAGGTTTTAGCATCCTCTTATCTCCCATGTCTCTGTCCAGCTTACTCCTAATTTGAAGTTTTTCCATCACCTAAATGCCCGCAGAGCTTAGTGACAGTCATCTTAATGGTGTGAGTGTTCCCCTTTCTTCTCTGCAAACATATTAAACTTCTCAGAAGCCACTCACCTTATATTGACAGGAGCTTCAATACACTTAATTTCTGCAGAAAATTTAAAGGGGGGGAAAAAAAAGGAAACCACTGGAAAAATAAACTTGTAAACAGACACTGCCATTCACACTTTGTCAGGTTGCATGTGTGTGACTAGCAAAATGGAGTGGAAAATCTTACAAGTGGGCTCAGCTGTATCTTTGCCTGACACTTTTGACTACAGCAATGATGTCAGTCTGCCTTCGGCTTTCCCACTTTCCCGAGTTTATGTCTCCTTCCTTTCACTCTCTGTCGGCATCTTTAGCAGCTTGTTCCATATTTCTGAGATATTTTCTCTCTGCCGTTTGAAGTCAACTCAGGGTATGGTTTAAAACCCCCATCTGCTGTCACTGAGAGGTGTTTAAATCTACAGTTCTACCCTTCTGTCTGAAATAGCCTTTATTTTTAATGGGAACTGGACTGAAAATGGTTACACACTCATTCAAATCGCTGTCCTGATGTAGCTGTAAACACCTCCAGTATAAGCTGTTAAATGCCCACACAATGCTGCCTTTGTTCTCTGTCAAGTGGGGAGGAGGGAATGCAATTCCAGGGGCATCCTTATTTCAAACACCAGTACCAGATTTTTTTCATGAGTGGTCATTTTATAAATTCTGAAAATACTACTTATTTTCATTGAGTGTCTCTAAATTTAGAATAAAAATTAATACATTGTCCATACCTGTTGTTTAAAACATAGTAAATGAAAAACATACCACTTTGAGATTTGTCATTATGAGTTGAGCTGGGATTCTGCGTGTTCCTACACTCCATCGTACTGGTGAAAATGTACAGACCCAGGCACAGATCATATTTTCCAGACTTTGAAATGGGCATTTTGACAGAACCCCAGAATTAGTAAAGCAGAGGTGTGGACTGATGAACTGTCATGTTAAAGGGTAGCTTAGTTCTCTTAGTGATGCAGAGTAATGTTAGTGTGAGTTACAATGGAAACGCAAAGAAACTTAAAAAAAAAGAGGAAAGGGGAAAAGCAGAGGACATTGATTGCAAAAAGCAGAAGAGAAGGGTGTAGGTGTGGTAAGTCTGAGATTCCTTTATCTTCGAGGAAATCAATTAAATGCTTACAGATTTTGTTTCTTTCTACAACAAAGATCTGACTTAACCAGAGGAGACACACACACAGCCATCTTTGTTCACAGCAATATTTCTCTCACTTTCTTAAGAAACCTTCAGTACCTTGACATGCATCTTGTGCATCAGAAAAGATGACAGACAGCAGTGAGATCTCCTTAAATATCTGTTCTGAACAATGAAAGAGCTATTTCTCAAAATGGGAGTTTTATACTTCTTGTGATTAGTCTAGATGCACCTTCCCCTTCCAAACAAGGTGATAACAGAGGTCATTTTGTAATATAAATGGCCTTCCTTTTGCCATTGTAAAATACGACAGGAGTTCTAGGATGTAGGTTAATTATAATGGTCATTCTACTAATGTCACAGTCGTGTCAAAAGTACTATTATCAATTTATGGTGGTAAGTCCAATCTGGCATGTTAATGCAGCCTATTGTATATTCTTTCCCGTTCATCTTGCATGCCTATTAAAGAAATTGGGTGAGGGTTTTAGGGAAGGCTGAAGACTACCATCTACCTGCTAGAAGAGTAATAGTCTTGCCTAATTATATACTCCTAACACAGTGGCATCTTAATATGCTCCTTGACTCCATTTGGTATACATGTCCAAATTGTGCCCTGATTTACATCCTATGCCGATTCTGTAAAAAAACCCCAACCTTAGTGGAAAGATGCATTTACCCTTCCATTCAAAGCTAAGCTGGGTTTAAATCTTAGAGTGTGTAAAACCAGTCTGCAGTAGTTATAGATTTAGCTCTTTCACTTCAGAGGAGGCTAAATCTGTTTTTGAGAGTCAAATAAGGTTGAAAGTGTGAATGGACAGAATTTGTCATACTTCATCTGCCTGCTTGCTTTGTCTCGTTGTACCTGGGAGCTAACATGCCACCATTACAGGTTTTTCACCTGGTGCTTACCTCTTTGTCACCTAATGAGTGCACAATTCACACATTTATTACTCAGGGGCCAGCACGAGCCTCACCGTCAGTCTTTGCCAAATACGTTTCAGTCACTGAACTTGCACCGCATGAAAACAGTTGCAGAATTTGGACCACAATTATTGCAAGTAACAGGTTTCCCCCCAGGCACGAAGGATCATCTGGGTGAACCCAGAGGATGTCTTACCATGCAGACAGACCCCAACCCCACAGGTTATCAAAAACCAAGCGTGTCTAGACAGGCCACTGGCAGCCTCTCCACAAGACAGCTGTACACTTGGAAGGTAAATGATTTGTGGAACTGTGTATGTTTAAAGCCATTCATGCATAAAGCTGTCAAATGCCACGTAGACACAGGTAGAGCATTTCTGGCTCGACATATTAACACTGCACAAGCAAAAGGCATTGACAGTTTTTATTAGGAAAGGCATCCTGACACCCCGGTGTAGCTGGTGCAGTTTAATTCCAACTGTGTCACTTCTCTGAGGGCTGAGAAACTAAATCCTCCAGCCAGGATTTTGCAACATTGCAGGAAGTCACACGTGTGAGTAGTGCCGGGCAAGTGAATTGCACTTGAGCAGCGTCTTTTTCATTTGCTAAATATTTTAAACAAATTAACCTGCTAAGCTTTTTATTAGTCTGGAACACAAAGGAATACATAGCTGAATAACGTTAACAGTTCAGAGTTAGGGTTTTCTGCTGGATGCAGAGGTGGTTTTGTCTCCCACTGGTGACTGACCCAGCAGGAGAGACACCTTGCTGTGCAGTAACCCTCTGATGTGGTGGGCACTGCCAGCCTGGCAGCTCCTGCTCAGTCTCCATCATTAATTCGTGGGCAAACTGTAGCAGAGTGACTGATTTGTCACAATACAATAACTTTCCCTGATTTTAGTCCATATTAATCCGTATGTTTATTTAAGAGAAACTAAGAAGGAGTGGGTTTAGGGGTTCTTTGTTGTAGTTAAATATTACTTCTTTGGGAAAAATAAATTTACATATGGGTACTAGTTAAGACTCTTTTACTTAATCTTGTGAGATACACTAAAGAATTTTTTTTGGCATTGCTGTCAATGGACGAAATTACAAAAGACGGGAACTAGAAAAAATGCCAAAGAACAGCTTTTCTGCATGAGTTCTACATTTCAACATAGCTGCTCAAAATCATTTGTGTTGTTAGTAGTCTGGTACACCAGGATTGGGGTGAGAAGAATAACAGGAACCTTTAAATTCTGTAAAAGAGTCTTGACCACAAATAAGTTAAAGATTTCGGGATCATTCCCTAATCTTTATTTTCAATCATCATCATCAGCAGGCAGTAATCCTACAGAAAAAAAAAGTCCACAAATAAACAAACCAATTTTCCTTTAAGAGCAAAGCTAATTCTTTTCAATCCACTTTTTTATTACACTATTTTCCCTCTATCTATTTAGCTAGCATAAGGATAAATTTCCAAAGCTACCCAGTTGGAAAATAAATGGGTTCACTGTTTGTCTAGCATTCCAATCTTCACAAATGTAAATCAGTCCAACTGCTACTCATTTAAACCTCCAACTTCACAAAACATTAAAGGACTGCTTTCCATACACAATTTAATCTGTGACAATTCACCAAGATTTCTGCTTGAACATCATTAGAGATTGACTCTCCCATAAAGACAGACCACTATCAAAGGTCAGGTGGGTCAACCTGTGTCATCTACGGAGTTTTACTGGGTCAACTACAGTAGGCACCATTGTTTGAAGGTTAAATTGTTACAATTAAATACATATACAGCTATTCCCACAGCTACTCTGCTGTTAAATCCACCGTAAACAACACAAGCATTTATATCTGACCCTAATTGTGTCCAAGATGTCACCATTTGGAAATTATACAAAAAAGGACATTATAATCCATTACACATTAAACAATACTTTATGTAGTGAGATCCATAATTAGCTGGTAGAGGCTGGTTTCATTTATTCACATCAGTGTTAAGGGGTTCATTTAGGTTACTTTCTTTCATTTTAATTGGAATAATGCGAGCAGTGCCTCCCAATATATTTTATAGCTGGAGAGTTCACTATAAACAAAGGCATGTAACCCTGCCAAGGCAGTCACTAGGGAAACGTTTTCTCTGTGTTGGCCCTATTCACTTATTTCCTAAGTATCTTCAAGAAGACTGGCTTTGTCAAGGGGAAGGGTTGAGGGCATGTCAGGGAAGAGCCTTCTTAAATTCAAGTGTACTGCTTAGCTGGGAAATCCTACTTTACTTGAAGTTTGAAGCCAGCCAGCCAGGAGCATTAACATTATGTGACTTTCCTAGTCATCAGAGAAAATCAAATGAAATCTCTCAGAAGCGTTTTGTAGCAATCAGATCATTCTGATGCACGTAATAGTATAACAAGGTCGGTACACTGATACCACAGGAGAGAGAGTAGTTAGCTGTGTAACTAAATTTATGATCAACTCCTACAGGAAAAAAAAAAAGGTTTGTCTGCATGCCTGTGTGCTTCTGGTTTCCACCACAATATATGTAAAAGTTGTGTGCTAGGAACGGTTCTCAGAACCACCACTTTAAATTGAATCTAGCGATATATCCAACCGGAATGTAAGGAGAGACTCTCACTGGCACGCCCTCACAGGGCAAATATAACATGTCTCAGACAAGCTTTCTACTGCATATGATCACTTTGTTTTCTTTGCTTTTCTTCTGATTTGTACGAAAGCGGGACATGTACTTTTCGCTCAGCTCAGTAGCCTGGGATATTTGTTGTGTTTTGTCTGCGTGCCAGCGACCCGATCCAAGACTCCCACAGTCTTCGGTGGGCTTTGAATGAAGTCTTTGGCCAGGGAAGCAAAAGTGCTCGACTGCACTAGGTTTTGCTGAAAGCACAGGATTAATTCTGGTACCAGAGCAACACCTCTGCTGGGCTTTCACACATGTGCACCCGTCTGTGTGTGCTGTACAGACAGCAGCGGCGTGAGCCGGGCAGTGCAACAAACCCACAAACACAGGCTGTACCATCCTTATGTGTAAGATCATATCACAACGTTCATCCTCAGACTATATCTCTTCTTTTTTTTTTCTCTTTGTTGTTGTAATTTCAGATTTTGTGTTGGAGACAAATTTTTCCTGAAGAACAACATGATTCTCTGCCAGACAGACTATGAGGAGGGTTTAATGAAAGAAGGTTATGCGCCCCAGGTTCGCTGATTGGATGCCACACCACTAAGAATAAAAAGCACTATGTTCTTTTATCTTTTTTGCTCAACATGTATATAAGAAATGACACAGGAACCTACTGAATAGCATAGATATAGGGAGACTGAATGGTTGCGTGACATAAAAGGTGGACTGCATCTGTATGTAGTGAAAATTGCTCCAGTTCAGAGTTGAATGTTAATTAAAAAAGTACTGTACATACAGCTGGATTCTTTTTGCTTGCTCTTGGGGGTTTTTGTTTGTTTGGGCTTTTTTGTTTCTTTTTGTGTCACTTGGCATGAGATGTTTATTTTGGACTATTGTACATAATGTATTGTAATATTTGAAGCACAAATGTAATACAGTTTTATTGTGTTACCATTTGTGTTCCTGTTTGCTTCTTTGTATTGTTGCATTTAGTACAATCAGTGTCTAAACTTACTGTATATTTATGCTTTCTGTATCTACCAGCTATTTTAAATGAGCTGTATCTTTCTAGTAAAAAGCATTAAAGAGCAAATCCCAACCATTATGCTACACTTAGAGCTTAAGAATACTGTTTACATTAAAACTATTTAGAAAATTAATAACTAGCAGCACGTGCTGCTAATGATGCTATGGTTAAGGGTCTATCAGCACTTCTGTTATAAGCCTCTATTTTTCAGGGGTTAAGCATCTGCTGTTTAATTGCATAGATTTTCCTCAAAGAGCACTTTTATTTTACTACAAAATTTTGAAAAGCAAATCTGACTGGTTTGGGATATATTATAAAAGGTGCAAAAGTTAATGATTTTGGGTGCTGCTTTTGCACCCTGTAGGCATTCCAAATGCCTGGATTTGATTTTTAATTTAGCTGGAAATTAAGCCCTAATGCAAACCAGTGCCTCTGGGTATCTTATTTTTTATATATATATAAATATATATGTTATTTTCTGAAATTATTTAGTTTGGGGGCAGGGGAAAGGAAAGGGAGAAGACTTCTGTTTATATACATTTTAAAAAATTCTTAAAATTTGACAGGTCTCTCTCTCCCTCTCTCTGTTTCCTTTTTCTCTTCTTTTCTTTTTCTTTTTTTTTTTTTTTTTAATCAGGGCTTAACCCTAAAGTTTTCTGGGGCTGTGTGCTCAACAAACCCTGGAAAAAAGTGAAAGTAGAAGGCACTGTAAACAGCCCCCTCTGAGGGTCTATTTACATTAAAGAAATGACCCTGAGCTGACACTAGGAGAGTGACTGGTTACTAATTACCCATCTCAGTGAAAGCTGAAGGTAATTTAAATGCTGATGTGGATGGGACAAAACTTTGCAATACCAGTACAGAACGGGAGAGTTACCTCTCTCGACTGCATAGGTACTTTGCTGTCCATGTCAACATCCTACATGTTTGTCCCATCAATACTGGCAATTAAAATCCTTTAGGCAGAGGTGAAATCACTGCTGACAGCTCCTGTTGGCAATCAGTCCATTTTGTAAGAGAGGTGGACCTCTGTTTTTAAAGCCATGAAGCTATTGCATCAGCAGGATGTCCCCAAGTGCTCGTGCCCTGACAGAGCTTACAGGTGTTTAGCAAAGGAAGGCAGGATGAATGTGTAAAAAGCTGTTAAATACATAATTAATTCTTGTCTGTTTGTCACTGTAATCTGGCTCGCTGGAAAAACAACCTGTATTAAAAGAAAAAACAAAACAAAAACACCCAAACAACAAAACAGTATTAAGAAAAAAATATACATGAAACCGACTATACCCTATGTTGTTATGAAGCTGAGCTCTTGTTTTAATTTAGATTGAGAACACTCCTCTCTGCTCAAGTTGAGTGCTGTCCTTCCCTGCTCTTCCTGTCCTATTGCTCATTCCAACATGTTTTTCCTGGGGATGATGAAAGAAACTTTGTAATGCAGTGGGGTAATTCCTCTAGTGTATGTTATGAGTACACTGCACAGTGGCTTGACTTAGAAATGGATATTTAGTTCTAATGACTATTGTTACAGTGTGTTTTTGTTTCTGGCTGTGAACCCTTTTAAAAATAAGCATGGCTTATAAAACTTGACTTTGACTCATACAGGACCAGTAAGAAATGCAATGACTCCTCAGGCTGATCTTGCTAATTAGACAAAATAGCTCCACATAGCTTTTCAAATTAAATTTGGCCCTCTTTTGTGGACTTTTTTCCTTCCTAACCTTGAGCACAAGTCTCTTTTCCACTCCTTCCACAGTCCCTTAATGTCTTTGGGATAACGAAGCAGTTGGTGTCAGAGGTATTATTAGGCTCTTCCAGATCTACTTCAGTGCAATAAACAAGCTGTCCTTTCCATGAAGGTCAGGATGGACAGAAAGGGAAGAATCATAGTATCTTATTTTGAGTCCAATTTCAATTTTCTCCTCCAGCCTCTCTTGGGTCTTTCTGTTTGAAGTCAGAAAGATATCTCTTCTGATTTCTACTAGTAGACTGCAGAATGGATAGAAATCCCTGGTTCAGCAACAGGGCCGGAGAAGAGGAAAGAAGGGACTTGGGTTATGGCTTTGACTTCCTGTAAGCTTGGGCAAGTCATTCAACTTCTCTGTGCCTCATTTGTCCCTGTCTGTCAAATGGGGCCAATGCATACACTGCCTTTGTAAAGCATTTTTGGCTCTTCAGGAAAGCAAGAGCCGTGCATGCAGGTGTTACAGGCAGCATTAGGACATCACGGGAGAGGAGGAGCATTCACAGTGGGTAACCACAGATCTGAGAGCACCAGAACCAACTAAACCTGTGGAAGGCTTTGTTGGGGGCGATGGCAACTACACACTAACAGTGCTGTAAATGCTAAAGTGCTCTCTCATTAACACAAAGTGCCACTGCTCAGCTCTCTGTAGACTAAATTAAGACAGTGCAATGGGAAAATAGTGGTTTGTTATAACATGCCATGTTGCTCATATGTGCATGTGTGTGTTTTGTAACATAGGCCAAAGTGCAGAAGAGGAAGGTGGTCCTGCTATGGAGAAATAAAACAGTCTCACCATTCTATCAACCTTACCTGATGTAAGGAAAAGGAAATATTGATATACACATTTGCAGTGCTGCAATGGTATGGCACTGCTTTCAGCACTTTAAGCTCATATATCTTATTCACATACATATCTAAAATTTGTATGTAAAGGATACAGTATAAACTTAGATTTGATGTAGGTCAAAGATAAATCACACATTTTCCTGTATTTCAAACTTCCATCTTGCCTGGCTGTTAAAATAATAACTGGGAGTTGAAATATTTAGTGGAAACATTTACAACTCCAATAAAGTATAAGAACATAAGACAACACTGAAGAGAGATTATCTGCTAGGCCACTTTATTGATCTTTTTGACAGAGGCCTAGACCATTCTTTTGGGTTGCTTTTAGTTATCTGCTTTGGTTCTTCTTCTCCATCACTGTCTGTGTCAACATGCTCTGTCTGCATAGAGCAAAATGTTCTGCTAGTGACCAGTACTCAGTGTATGCTCATTTGCCAGGCAGGAATGCTTCCATTTGTGTCTCCCATCTTTAGGGTATTTTATCTCAATATGTACAAATATCTAAGTTTAGCCAGACAAAAATAATAATAATAACAATAATTTAAAAAAAAAAATCTACTATTCTTGGGTGGCTGGTGTTTGAGCCACATGGAAAAGTACAAATTATCAAACCTAGATTTTCAGCTGCAAAAAGCTCTTCTGACAACCGTAACCTGCTGTGTCTGTAATCTGCCACTACTGGTGATGAACCAAGACAGCCTGGATTTGGCAGAAGCAGTGACCAGGGCTAAAACTTGATCTGTTTCATAATTGTGTTTTTATATTTTTGGTTTTGGTTTTTTTTTCTAAGCACACCTTCTTCTGTTTTCTTATCCTCCCAAGATGCTCAAATTTTTGCTCATGTAATGTAAATAAAGGAAAATCATCCAACAACCCCTGAAACGTTCCTAATTGCCTACATATGAAACGACTTGAGGAAAATAAATTGAAAAGTGGTCAGTGAGAAGGGAAACTGTGGGGAAAAGAAACAAGCAGGGACTGTGGCAAGGTTTCGCCTGTATAGACTTTAAAGTACTTTAAAGGCTTTTTTCAACGTAATATGCAGCAGCTTCTTATAATTTTCTCAGCAGTAGGTAGTTTACAGTCATCGGTACCTAGAACAAATCTTGTCAAAAATGAAGGTCTGTAGTGATTGCTGGGTATAATTTTATACATTTAGCTGATTTTACTGAAAGCTTCCACTGTGCTGCTGTTGTCAGACTAAATTATCAATTTAGCCATTTGTTGTTTAATGAATAAAAACTCCTATGGCATTGGAGATGTTGTGGTTTCAATAAAGCAAAAGCTTTAACAACTCAAACTACAGAAAACAAAGTGTGTACTCTATATAAGAACAGTGTTTTTATTCTTTTAAATACCACTTTAGAGAAAAAAAGCCAATTACATATTCACTTAACACATTTCTCCTACTTCAGGCCAATGATGCAGACCAAACCTGTTTACTGTTCAGTACCTTGCAAAAGGAAACCAAAATACAATATGTGCAAGGTAATAGGCCATTAGCACAAACATGCTCCCAGTAAAAATCTTTTGTGTAGGCACCTTTTAGAAGCTGCCAATTGTGGGTGAGAGAAAGGAAATGATTTTAATACTATTTAAGGCATTAAAAGCTGAAGAGTATCTGTTTAAAGCCTTAAAGTAAGAGCTGCATGTATCTAATACCTTTCAAAATGCCCTTCTGCTGATTTATATTCATCCTGAACCTGCTAATAATGAGTGTACATAAGCAAATACCATCTTCCACCTATTCAGCATGTCATTGATATGAAAGCCCCAGAAAATATCTCACGTAATCAGTGTGTTCAGAGAGTTATCTAGCACAAATTACTCATTAACTCAATAGCACATAATAAAAAAGAACATCAATTAATTAATGAGTCACCCTCAGATCACTTTGATTACAACACAGCTCTGTTGAAACAGCAGTTATAAATGGGGCTGCCTCTCTTTATTCATTGTTTGCAATTGGCCCATTATTTTGCAGAGACCAGTGTCACATTTAACACATGCCTGCAGGTAATTGTGTGATAAGTTTCATAAATGAAGATGCAGAGGGAGAACATGGAGTCTCTTGCTCTGCAGCTGAGTCTGAAGATGCAGGAATCCACCTCACCTCCTGCAACCTGCCAAGCCAGCAGACCCCTCTGCAGTGGCCACAAGGCCAGCCTGCCTCCTGACTGCAAGGCCCTAGTGACAGGACAACACTCAGAACCAGTCATACTTAGCTCTATCTTAATCTAAAGATCTCAAAGCCCTGGGCAAACACTTTTGATTTGGGCCTCCCCCCTCTGTGGATGTCAGTCTCTTCTCCCAAGCATCAAGCAACAGGACGAGGGGAAATGGCCTCAGGTTGTGCCAGGGGAGGTTTAGATTGGATATTAGCAAAAATTTCTTCACTGAAAGGATTATCAAGTACTGGAACAGGTTGTCCAAGGAAGTGGTGGAGTCACAGTCCCTGAAAGTATTTAAAAGATGTGTGGGTGTGGTGTTTTGGGATATGGGTCAGTGGTGGATGCAGCAGTGCTGGGTAACAGTTGGAA